AATGGACAAGAGGTCAATCGTTATGTGACTTTGAACAATACTGGATCACATAAATATCAAAATGGTTTACAGATTATGTAAGTACACATAGTAGGCTATACTTCATTAGTTCCAGGTTTAAAGTTGTGATGTCGTGAAATGTTATATTGTGACTTTATTTTAGGCCTGTGTAAGGCGGTATTTAATTCTTTATGTTATTGTCATTAAGTGGGTAATGAGTCACAAAACAAATAATCAAAACATATCAGGGGTGGGGGGCGCCAAAGTGTCTTTGCCCCCGGGTTCTTAGAACCCTTGCTACGCCACTGTCATTCCATCCGTTTTTCTTTCTTTTTTTTAAATTATTACTTGTTCCCCTCTCTTCTTTTTAAACAATACCAATTGAAATCAGGTTGTAAGTGAACATCTGTTTTATTTTGAAAATTTAATGGTAATAGTTATTATTAATATCATTTTCAGTTTTGTTAGTTTCTTCATTGTACTTATAGAATGACCTCAAATGCTGACATCATTGAAGTTAGTGACCCACGATACTGCTTCTACACTCCCCAAGTTAAAATGCAACATTTTGGTGTGTAAATCATCTCAACAACTTCAAGCATTGCTGAGCCCTCTGACGCTAGAATCAGAATAATCACAGAACATTCGGCTGTTACGCTACTCGCCTGTTCTCTTCCTTATCGATGTTTTTTGACTAAATTAAACGTCTTAATAACTTTTTAAAACCCCGAGAACCTAACTTAGATGTTTATAAAAGTCTCTTACATTGTTATAAGAGAGACTTGAGACTATGATGAGCAACACATAATATGCGTCGGCCATTTTTCCCAGCTCATCCCTACATACTAACTAGTACCGCACTTAGTGATTACGGTGAATTAAACCCCAGGTTTTAGCATTATAAGTCAGGAAACGTATCGCTGACACAGCGGAGGACTTTTTTGTAAAAAAAAAAGGGGGGGCAGCAATTAACTTTATTATTAATTAAATTCTGTTAGCTAGTTTGGAAATACCACAAACTCATTGAAAGACTGAGATCCTGACCTGTGATTGCTTTCTATCTTTTAATCTATGTATAGTTTTATGTACTAGCCCTGAAGAAGCCGCAAAGGCGAAACGTCGGTTGAAGTAAAAGTTCTGTTATGATTATCCAGAGTTTAATACATGTTGTTTTTTCTAACTTTATTATTGAAATGTTTGTTGTTGTTTTTTTTAAATTTCGCGCAAAGCTACACGAGGGCTATCTGCGCTAGCCGTCCCTAATTTAGCAGTGTAAGACTAGAGGGAAGGCAGCTA